GGGGGGGGGGGGGGGCAGGTCCTGAGCCACAGGCCGTTCATCTTTTAATTTAATTATTCGACGTTTTTTAATCTGATCGATTAAAAAATGCTCCGTGACCATTCGCGGGTCTCCCCTCGCTGCCCCGGTGTGACTAACGGCTCCCTTGGCACGGTCCTTTGTCGAGGACTCTGGTCGGGCCCCGGGTCCTCCTCAATGACACCCTCGCCTGTGCCCGCAGATCCGGGAAGAGGACCGGAGCCCGCCACCTTCCTCGCCCCCTCTGCTCTTCTCCGTGATTCCCGGGGGGTTCATCAAGCAGCTGGTTCGGGAGACGGAGAAGGAGTCGAAGGGAGTCAAACTGAAAGAGAAAATCCAGCTGCATGAGCAGGAGGATGTAAGTAGCAAGCGGAGGTGGGATGGGGGGTCTGTCCCGCACGGCGCCCTCCGGTTGTGGCTTCGGCTTCAGCGGTGCTGGGGGTGCTTTGGGTCTGTGATGGGGCCATTGGGAAGCACTCTTGGTCTGTTCAAGTGAATCACAGACCTGGGTGTTTTGTTGGGTCGCCTGGGTGCATTTGACTGGGTTGAATTAGGACTTGGGCTCATCAGGGATGCAGATGCTGCCCTAGGATGGCAATAGGGACGCACATCTCGGCCCACGGGTGCGGAGGGAGCTATTCCCCTAAACCCCGTGTCCTCCCTGGGTGAGGCTGGACCTATGCCCATGCAAAAGCTGTAGCACGAGAAGCCAGGCAGGGTCGGCGCTCGCTTCTCCGGCGCTGCCAGGGTTGTGCTCACACGCTCCGCTTTTGTCCCTAGCCCCTGGGGAAGTGCGACGACAGCTCAGCGCAGCCGCTGGCTCGCCAGGCCCGGGACATCCTGGAGGTCGGAGGGACGATGGGGAGCAAAGGAGAAGTGCTGCAGAACGGCCTGAATGGGGAGAAGCACGAGGAGGGGGTGGCCGCTCCGCTCCCCCCCAGGAAGACGGTGCCCTTCAAGAGAGCTGTGGGGAGGGCCAGCCTCAAGAAACCCACCCCTCCTGCGTCCGAGACGGCTCAGCCTGGGAAGGCCCCAGGCCAGGAGCACCAGAGCAAAGGGGACAGCCCCCTGGCCGCTGCGCAGAGACCGGGCAGGGGGCTTCAGTGCTGCCCCGAAGGGCTGGGGAAAGAAGGGGAGGCACCGGGGAAGAAAGGCCTTGAGACCGCGAGGAAAGAGAAGAAGCCGCCCCGGACCAAGGCAGGGGTCAAGAAGGAGCCGGGAGGGGTCAAGAAGGAGATGGAAGAAGTTAAGAAAGGGGCTGGGGAAAGCAAGAAGGAAGCGGGCGTCAGGAAAGGGCCGGGGGAGCGCGGGGAGGAAGCAGGAGGCGACGAGGAGTGGGAGCTGAGCAAGGAGGACGCGGAGGAGGTCGCACAGGAGCCCGGGGCAGGCAGGATGGACATCCAAGAGGATCCCAAAAAGGTCGAGGGAGAAGCAGAGGAGACGGAGGAGCCTGGAGCCAGCCCGGACTCCGACGCGGCGAAGGTGCGCCTGTGTCCGCGTGTCCTGCTCTCTGGCTGTCCCGTGCCCCACCGCGAGCTTGGACCCGGGACCCCTTTGCTGCGCACCCCACGAGAGCAGCCACGGTCCTGGGTCCGCAGGAGCTGCTTTGCTGCAGATTCGAGGGGGTGATTGCCGTGCTCCTGGGGCCGGAGCCATGGGGGTCCGGGGAGGAGGCTTTTGAGCCACCCCATTGCCTCTCTGAGGCCGCGAGAAGCCGAGTCCAGCACTGGGCAGCCTGGCCAGGGCAGGGGGGAGGTCTTCCATGCATTTGCCTTTTCCTCCCTTTTTTTTCTTTTCTGGGCATTTTTCTTCCCCCACAGCAGCAGGGAGAAGCAAGGGGCCTTGCTGTAGATCAGGACTTGGCTCTGCACCGGCGCTGCTCTCCTGACCTTGCACACAAGATTGCTAGCTGGGGGGGTTGTTCTCCCATGCAGACGGGGGGGAGGTTTGCTTGCCACAAAGCCGCCTGTGCCACTGAGCTGCATGCAGGCTTGCAGTGGTGGTCTTCCTCTCTCTCTAAGCCCCAAAGGTCTCCACTTGTGCCCCCCCCCCATGGACGCACAGCACCTCGGCACGACGCCACTCATCAAACCCGGTGGCGGGCACTGAGGAGGAAATGCCAGGAGCACGCAAGCCTCCGAACAGCCAGGGCTAGATTTGGGTGCAAACACCCTTATGAAATAGCATGGGAGGAGAAGCATGGTGAGCAGGGGGCCCATGCAGGAGATCTGCTTCGAGGGTCACCAGGAGGGACCTGCTGGCTCCCTTCCACGGTGCAGGCGTCCTGGAGCCGGTGTCTGCTCTTTGTGCACAGGACCGTCCTGGGCGGAGCACAAAGAAGTTGATTAGTGACCAGTGATGATAAAATCGCTTGTGTCAGGAGTGTGCAACTTGCCCATGTGCTGCTGTAGCTTGCGGTTGTGTGTTTTCCTGGGTGGGGAAGGGCGAAGAGCCCAGATGTGGCTGGGAAGAGTTCGTCGGCTGGGGCCGGACCCTGACTCTGCTTCCCTGCAGGCTCGTGACGACGTGTGGTACGAAACGGAGAAAGTCTGGCTCATCCGGAAAGACGGATTCACGCTTGGTAACTTCTGCGGCTCGTTGTTCGCCCTTTTCTGGGAGACGAGGCTTTGGGGGGTGTCAGACCTGGGGCTGAGAAGGAAACTTTCCTGGGGGAGTTTATTACTGACCACAGGGCTGCTTTGGCTGAAGCAACTGGTACTGGCTGCTACTGGAGGGGAGTGATGGGACTGAGGGCAAATTGCAGCCTGGCCATCCCTATATTACCCTGCTTGGGGCTCTCCCGGGAGCTGTGACCCACCCCCGGGCCCACACACGGGCGGAGGACTGGATGCAGGGCTCTTCTTTGCCACTCGATCCAGCCCCTGTGGGCTGCCCTTCAAAGGTGCACAGCGTAAATGGACCCTGCAAGTCATAGGAGCTCCCTCAGACCAGCAGGAGACTCTGCTGCCTCAGTTGTCCCCATCTGTGAAATGGGGTTAATGCTTGGGGGAGGGGTTGGAAATGGCACGACCATCAGCTGGCGCAGCAGGGCCCAACGGAGCCAGGCCTGCGCGAGGGGGCGAGAGCGGGATCAGAGCCGCGTCTTGCGCAGGCCTCCTCCAGAGTCGGCTGCACCGTCGTTAGGGAGGAGCTCATTCCCGAGTGTCTCCTGCAGCCACGCAACTGAAGCCGGACGTGGGGACCCCGGAGCTGCCGGCGGGGAGGGTGAGGGTGCGCGTGGAAGCTGACAGCACGGTCATCGAGGTGGATGAGGAGCACGTGCACCGGGTGAGTCCCCAGGCCCGAAACCCCACAGGCTCCGTGTGCTGCCCGCGCTGGCCGGACCGTCAGACAGGGCTGGGAGGGGGTCTTTTTACCCAGCACGCGCTGCAGCGGCCCCTCCGCTCTCTCAAACCGGCATCTCCTGATGTCTCAGCCCCTTCTGGCCGCTCACTAAATGGACCCTGCAAGTCATAGGAGCTCCCCCCTGACCAGCAGGAGACTTTGCTGCCTCACATCTCCTGTCTGTGAAATGGGGTTAATGCTTGGGGAGGGTTTGGGATGAAACTATTGTCAGCCAGGGGCAGGGCAGGAGAGGAGCTCCCTAGCCTGTCGCAGCTATTCCCTGTCCCGCTGTGCCAGGCCTGCTTCCTCCGCAGCCTTGTGCTTCGGGGCCCTGGTTTATTCTTTCTTTGAATTTTTCCACCTCCAGGACAAGGTGAGTTCCCGCGTGTCTGGAAGGGGCTGGCGCACATCGTGTTAGCAGCACTAGCAGGTCTCCTCTGGGCCTGCCCCTCTGGGCACATCTGGTTCACAGCTGGAGGAGGCACCTGTGGGCAGTGGGTTGCCAGCTGCAAACCACTGGGCCCTGTAAGGAGGGAGCGTAGTCTGGGCACGGCCAGGCCAGGGGCATCTCATGCGTTCTTCTCTCTGCAGACCAACCCCTCCAGCCTGGATTTTGCAGAGGACGTGGCGGCGCTGATCAGCCCGAACGAATCGAGCGTCATCAACACGCTGCAGCACCGGTACCGGTCTCAGCTCAGCTGCACGTACGCGGGACCCAGCCTGGTCACCATCAAGCCCAGCGCGGCCGGCGCCAGCTGCTCTGCAAAGGTAAGAGGCGGGATGTCTGTGCTGACTCCGTGCACGGGAGGACCGGATGTGGCTGGTCTGTCCTGCGGGAGGGGGGTTTGCAGTGGCCGCAAGAGTCCGGGCAGGTGGGTTTAGGACCCCGCTCTCCACCTGTGGGTGCTGGGTTTGTGCCCTGTGTTTTAGCAGCGTGCAAGAGGGGGTTTCGCTCTGTCCCCATTGCGGGCACCCACGGCTCTCCCTGTTGCAGAGCTGTCCGTCTCTGGGACAGACCGGTCCTGTCACTGGAAAACCCCACTCGGGGCTCCTGTCTGCTGAGCAGGCAGAGAATTAATGCAGAAACTGCGCTGCCGCTGGCTTTGGGGTGGGCCTGGCCCCGTCTCTCTGGCAGTGCAGACTTGTCATGGAGCAAGAGCTATGGCTGCAACGCCAAGCGGCGTGAGTAGAGGGTCTGCGCTAGGAGCTGGACTCTGAGCCCAGCACGTGCACAGTTTTCAGACAGACCCAGACCCAATCCAGAGGTGAGGGCAGAGGTCCGCTTTGAGCAAAGGCAGTGTTGCTGGTGGGAAACACGCACCTTTCCCTGTTTAATGACAAGGAGATCGTTGCTTTGCTGCAACTGCCGATCAAGCAAGAGGCTCTACGTGGGGGACACGGGCTGGGAAGCCGGAGAGAGTTCAAAAGCTGCAAAATGGAAGTCACGTCCCTGCCAAAACCAGAGTCGAGGTTCCCAAAATTTTCAGTTGCAGGGTGAGGTGCTGGAGTTTGGAGCGTGCATGCGTGTGTGTGTGACCCTGGTACAGGCAGAGGTGTGCACTGGTATCTGATGTGCCCTCTCTGCTAGCACCTGCCAAGCCAGGAGGTCCTGTTATCCAGCACCGGGTGTTTCTCCGTGACCCAGTTGTTAGCCAAGTTTGAGGCTAAATTAGGTTGGCACAGGGACAAGGGCAATGAAATGTCCCCACGGCTTTGTCCTCGGCTCCTGGAAAGCACAGCGGGGTTTGGTAGCAAAACCCAGCCGTAAGGGCAATGTGGGGGCTTGCACTGGAAGCCATCACAGCTGGTTGTTAGCAAGGAGGCTCCATCCCACGGCCTTTCTGCCCTAGGTGTTCAAGGGCAAGCGGGACAGCATGCCCCCTCACGTCTGCTCCGTGGCGCAGAGGGCCTACTGGAACCTGCTCACGCAGCGCCAGGACCAGACCCTCCTGCCCCTGGGGAGAAGCGGTGCGGGGAAGACGACCTGCTGCCAGAGCGCCTTGGAGTACCTGGTGGGCACTGCCGGCAGCGTGGACAACAGGGTCTCAGGTATGCCTGCTGTCCTGCTGACGTGTCTAGGCACCACGCAGGCACCCTGGGATCCTGTCGCAGCACCGTGCCCCGAGGAGCTTACAGCTGGCGTACGAGCTGGGCCAGGACCTGCAGTGGGCCAGTCCGGCCCTGGGGTTGTGGCCCCTGGGGAGGCTGATTGGGATCGATCGTGTGGACTGGCTGAGGTCCGACTTCACTTTTTAAAGCTGAATTCTAACAAACTAGATCTGCCAGTTGGAGAAAAAAATAGAGCTAATACCAGCGTGGAAGTTAATAAGTATGACCCCGTCTGTTGAGCTGGGAGACATTAGTTCATTAGTTTCCCATACTAATTTTATTCTCCAGGTCTCTCTTTACCTTTATTCCTCCCCTCTGACACTAAAGTTCATTAATCCATCAAGGACTTGTAGCAATAGACTCAGTCGTGCTGGGGGCGGGCTGGGATTTCGGGGAATCCGTGCAAGTGCCAGGTCCTGAGGACGGCACTGGGGTCAAGCCCCTGGTGCAGAGAGGAGCACCCAGGTTTCTGGTGCTCTTGCATAGCCTTGCCAGTCATGCTTTGGTTTCTCTAAGACACATTTAGTGCCTTTGGCAGGTTGCGCTGCAGAGTGACGATGTGAGTGCCTAAAGCAGGCGTGGGTTTTTGTTTCTTTTATTTCCAGGATCGTGTTACCCAAATTCTTACTTGGCCATTCCCTCTTTTTGAAGCAATTTATTCTAACGTTTCCAAACTGCACAGCGGTTAAGTTCTCATCTCTTTAAATCTTCCTTTTCCTCCTTATGTTCCACTGTCTCTGTTGTTTTAACAGTGTTATGTTGTCATCTAGAAAGGAAACACTGGTGCTCCTCAGTGTTTAGTCCATGCTCTCTTTGATGATGCACAAAGCATTTCACATCTTGTAAGGCTTGCTGTCGAATAAGAGAGATTTTGAAGGAACAAGGCAGATTATCCAAATATGGAGAGAATAGTATTGCCTTTGAGTCAGGAAAGGAGACAAATGTGCAGCTTCAGTTTGAGGTTAGAGCTTCTTGGTTTGGATTTTTTGCAATGTCAGGAAACTTCGATCCCATGAAACATTTGGCTTGCTGCAAGCCAACTCTCCCTGGGTTGAGGGGGATCATCGCTTGGGCAGACCCTGCTCCGCACTAGCTGGCCCTGCATAGAAAAGCCAGATGTTGTTGCTCTTTATCAGCTCCCGAGGGTGGCCGTGCGGGGAGGTCTGTTTGCACGTAGATCCCAGGAGCCTTTTGTCAGCACGCAATGGTGGCTTGGTGAGTCTGTTGTGGCTTTTGTCCCAGGCTGGATTCAATTTTCTGCATCAGCTCACGTGGGGCAGGCTGAAATACCCTGGCCTGCCCAAAATGAATCTCTTCCCAGGAGCACCGATGGGCAGGAGTTATACTATGACATGCTAGTGCCCCTTTACCTTGTGGAAACCTCCCCTTTTCTTTATCTCTTTCCACTTCATGGCTTTTAAATGTAATGTTTCGTGACGAGTATGAGGATGACTCGTGGCGTGTACAAGCACCCCTATTGCCCCCTGCTTCCTCTAAGCACCTTATCCTTCCTCTATTATCCCTCAGAGCATTTGCATAAGTTGGTTACCATGGAGTGACTGCCATTGATGCTAATGACGATGGGGTTGCTAATTCTCAGAGGCGTTCTAACAGACCCGTCACCCCCGAGGAGGTTTTGCTTGTTTGTTACTTTAATCTCTTAGTCCAAAGATTTAGGCTAAGCTGTGCCCAGGCCCTCAGATGCAATGTGAATAAAGCCAGCTTGGTGCAGATCCTTTCAGGCTGCCGGTCCTGTGCTCGGGTTAGGGCAAAGCTGTGCTCTTCAGTCCGACCAGCTGCAGGCAGAAGGGGCGAGTGGTAGTTGGAGGGGGGAGATGAAGAAGCAAGGTCTGAATTTTGGAGGAGAACAGGAATGTGGGTGGGGCAGTGGCAGCCCCCGCCTGTGGGGAGCTGGCACTGGGACCTAAGAAGCGAACGTTTTTGTGTGACAGGCGTTTACGGGGCTCATGTGTGTTGACTTTGCAGTGGAGAAGATCCAGGCCATGTTCACAATCCTCAAAGCCTTTGGTTCAGTGACCACCCAACACCACTGCCACTCCACTCGGTTCTCCATGGTCATGTCGCTGGACTTCAATGCCACGGGCCGGATCACTGCTGCTCACCTCCAGGTAACTCTGCACATCTGGGCCATGGCACCCAGGTATGGTGGCCAAGGTGGGGAGGGCGGGAGTGACCTGCCACAGGTGACTTGGCGTCAGAGGTCCGACTGGAGCATGGGTCTCTGCTTCGTGGCCTTGTGCGAGCCCAGGCAGTGTCAGTGCTACCTATGAACGAGCCAAAACACCTTGAATCGTGCTGTTCATAGCAAACCACAGAGGAAATAAGCTGTTGTTGCATTGCGCTGTCGTTCTCTTTCACTGCACGGATGAATGAGGTTTTGGTAAACCTGATTATTAATATGCAACAAGCAGCATCTGCGTGAGCCAGCTGAGGCTCTGGATTCTCCACAAAAGGCTGATCGGGCTTTAGTGTCTGGGGATGTCTTGATGGGCAGATGGTTTCTAGTGCACTTCATGGAGAATGCCTTTGTTTCTGGGGGAGATACCTGAACGGCTGGAGCGGGCATCCCCTGCATGCATTCCCATCCCCTTCGTTAGACATAAGAGCCACCCAAAAGCCTGCTAAGCAGCTCTTTGCGACTCGAGCGGGCAATAACTCGGCAGCCAATAACCAGCTGCCCCATTTGGAAAGACAAGCAAGATGGGGCTGGAATGAAGTATTCATGAGGAAGGTATAATTCAGCGTTTCATTAGCAGCACCTTGCATGTTGGCTCTGATTTCCATTGCCGCCGTGATAGTGCCTGTGCAGTAGGAGCGACGGCCTGCCCTTGCTCTCGAGAGCTGGGCTGGAGGGAGGACGGCGGGAGCCAGTGGCAGCTGGTTGGGCGCCTTGAGGACCATGAACTGAGCCTCCTGTGTGCCCCTTGTCTCACCGGCCCCGGCAGTCTGACCCTGCCTCCAAGCTGTGCGATTACCAGCACTGGCATCTTGCTGTCACAAGACCAGTTGCCAGGGTCACTCCTGGGGGCTGGGCACGGGCGGTAGTGCAGAGCGAGGACTTGGTTCAGGCTTTTGCTGCAAATCCTGGCAGTGCTTCGCCTGCTTATAAGACACAAGTGTGTGTGTGTGTGCGTGTGGGGGGGATTTGACTGGTATATGACTCTTTGCCAGCTAACGAGTCCCTCGATTGCACCGGGCTTCCCAATCTAGCTGGAGGCGTTGGGCTGCCGTACCCCAGAACGTGCAGGATTTCCTCCACGCAGCTGGAGTTGTGGCACTGACCTCCTCCCTCTTTCGTCTGCCAGACCCTGTTGCTGGAGCGGGTCCGTGTCGCACGGCAGCCTGATGGAGAAGGCAACTTCAGTGTCTTTCCCCAGATGCTGGCCGGCCTGGACGTCACTCAGAGGTAAGCACTCTTGGACGTGGCCCCTGGCTCAGGCTGCGTCTCGGTGTGGCAGGGGCGGGTGCATTGTGAATGGCGCATGCAGAGCCCGTGCCGAGGACCACGGCGGGTGCGAGCAGAAGGGGCATTTGCACGGAGCCTTTGTGGGTGTTAACAAGGGCAGGCAGCATCCCCCGTGCACACGGCAGCCCTCTTAAGGGGTTCGGATGGGTGTCGATGAGACGGGCAGAGTGCAGGGTGCTGCTGTGGGGGTATAGAAAAGTGAGGCCAGTTGCAGAGGTCCATGGGCTTGGACCCCTGTCAGGGCTGAGACCTACCAGCTCCACACAGGTAACCTCACTCCCTCTGTGGGACTAAGCAAATGCCCCCATGGCCCTGCGCGGGCCCGGCTGGGCCCCTTCTGTGCACCGCTGTGCAGCTGCCGTCTTCCTAGAAGGAGAAGCCTCCTCCCAGCTCCTGCAAATGCGCTTCGCCATTCAGGCCCATTTTTTTCAGAGGAAAACCCTTGTAAGAGACCCAGGCAGCAGCTGTGCGCTCCTGGGAGTCGTGGCTGGTTTCATGATAACGCCGTGACCTTGCGTGCAGGCAGCGAATGGGTCCGAGAGGCCGTCCTGCCCATCCAGGGAAAAGCATTGACCTGGCGCAGAAATCGGATGAGCACTTTGCTGGGGGGGCAAGACGCTTGTTGCACACCAGGCCGCGACGTTTAGGAGAGCTGAGATTTGCAATGAGGAGGCGATAACCCAGCTTCTCTGGGGTGCACCAGTGTAAATTGGGAGCAGCATGTCCGCAGCACATCAGCCGTAGCAGAGTCCGGCTGGCTGCTCCCGAGTCGCTCAGGGCATGTTCAGCACATTTAATAGGCAGGGGTGTGTGCCAAGAGCTCCTTCGCAATGACCGCTGTCAAATCCCATGTCCGAGGGCTACGGTACCAGCCCTCAAGGGTGTGCTGCCCTCAGCACTTCTGCCCCGATAAAGCAGAGGGAGCGCCATCGGTCTTGCAAACGAAGTGTGCTGGGATGTAGTTGGCCCTGGACCGGGTGTCAGGCTGCTGTTAGGACCGGTCTGTGATGTCGCGCAATAAGGAACGTCGGTCCCGACACACGCGTGCTGTCGTGAGGGGATGTGAATTGGGCTCTGGGACCGTGCTGAAAAGGGGCGATTTCTCCAGCAGAGGGGGCAGGATAACCGTGGAAGGAGTGCCAGCCGTGCTTCGTTGTGCGGTGCTCGTTCAGCCAAGGGGATTTTACGGCAGAGGTGCAGAAGCATCGGAAATCGGGCAGGCGGGCTGCAGGGAGCTGGTCGGCAGGTGCCGTTTTGGGGGAAACGGGCGGGTTTCGAAGGCTGCAGGGCTGGACCAAAGGCGCCCCCCCAGGGACAGGGACTTGTGAGGCTCGCATGCAGAACTGGGCGAGGGGTCTTCTGCCAGGCAGGAGGTTTCTGATGGTTTTACCTCTCAGCTGGCACCGGCTGGGGCAAAGCAGAAGCAAAAGGAAAAAACCAGGCCAGCAGCATCCAGTGACCTGTTGGAGGCAGAAAACACCGGCGTTCCCAATGCTCGCTTTGTTTTGCATGAAACATGTCACCTCCCCCCCGTGGATTCTGGGATAATTCCATGATCATAATTAACCTGTGTTAATTAGTGCCCTAGTACAGAAAGAAACCCATCGGGTCTGAACTCAGCAAGCAGGGGCCATCACCCGCTCGTGTCTGCCGCGCACTACACGTGCGGTTGGTAGGGTCTAAGTGGTCAACACGCTTGACCCAGCAGGCCATGTGGAGGGTCCCTTTGTCGGAGCCAGACCCCTGGGATGTGTGGAAGAGATGCGCTGCCCCTTGGGTCTGGGCTGTTTCCTTTCCCCTTCGTAGACCCAGAAAGAACCTGGTTCATGTCCTGGAAACTGGGATTATGGCAAAAAAAAATTGATGCTGAGCAAATGCCACCCAGGTCCGTAGTTGCTTAGTGCAGGAAGGGAAAAGCTTGCCTGGGTTTAAGGAGTACAGCAGTGTCCGTCGTTCTGGGCCGGGAGGACTCGCGCCGTTCATGTCGAAGAGTGTTGATGGATCAACTCGCCCTGATTGCAGCGGTCATCAAAGGGAGGGCAAGGGGCGGCCATGTGCCTTGAGCCCCTGCATGTGGAGCAGCTGCTGGGAGGGGGAAAGAGGTAACGCTGCAAGGGGAAGGGGCTGGATCTGCCCCACCACGAGGTCCTTCCATTGGGTTTGAGCTCCACCGAGGACAAGGGAGGCCTTTCCGACAGCACAAACCATTAGGAAGGTCAAAAAGACGAACCTGGAAAATTGAGGGTAAGACGCTTCATCTGCACCAGCAGCAAATAAGTCCGTCTAGGGTTTCCCGTTGCGTCTCTTGGGCGGGCGGGTGCATTAGCCCAGCTCTGACCTCTGCGCGGCGCAGAGACCTTCAGGAGTGGTTCATGCCTCGGGAGCGGTAAGCCCCGTCGCGTAGCACCGAGCTGTCGTTTAATGTTCGTTTTCCATACCTGCTTTCAGGACGATGCTGCACTTGCACCAGATGCCTGAGAGCAACTCCTTTGGAATCGGACCGGTCTCAAAGGTAGGGACACCGTTGACACCTTTGCGCGTGGCCTGTCTGTCCTCATGGCTGCTCTGTATAGTGATGTTGGCACGTGTTTCGGATGGACCAGCTGGCAAAGCCCTTGCCTCTGGGAAGCAATGGTGGGAATCGCGGTTCACCTGGGGCTTGTGCATATGCGGCGGGTCTCAGCACAGCCGGATTTGGCCTCAGCTTCAGGGTGGCAGGGTCCAGAGCCTCCGCTGT